TCTGGTGAGTTCCATGGGTGCACCACATCTGGGGTGGGTGGGGTGCTATTTGGAGCCAGGTGGGGGCACCACTGCGTGGGCCCTTGAGATTTGGGGACAAAGCCCAGCCACGCCCCACAGATAACTACTCTCCTTTTTAGAAACAAACAGCTCTTGGCCTATCACTGGTCCTTCCAGAGACTGACTGTTTGGCCATGGGTCACCGGTGGGCTGCCTGAACTGCGCCCTCTGAACTGGGTGCCACCTGACCCAGCGAGCACAATGTGGGTGTGTGCAGCTGTGTTCTGTCAAATGTGAAGTTGTCCCTGCAGGGTGCGGCCCAAGCGGGCCCCAAAGACACAAGTACTTTTCAGGAAGGAGTGACCCTGGTGCCAAGGTTCCCCTCCGGCTGCACTGCCTTCTCTCCCCCAGCCTGTACCAGGGGCTTCGTGGGGACTCCCGGCAGGCAGGTGACACGAGCAGGATGAGACTCGCCCGGGTGCCGATGGCTCCCACGGAATGAGCTGTGATGACCAGACAGGGCTCGGGCTGAGGGCAGAGGGCCTGTGGGACGGCTTGTGTGGAAGGTTGTTTGGGTCCCGGTGAGTGCTGGCCAGTGCCGCACGGCCTGTGCAGCGTCGAGGGCTGAACTTGGCACGAGAGTGTCTCCCCACTTTGTCACACACACTTTTGCGTGTGTGTTAAGCCCATGGTTTTGTTTGCTTTCCTCTCTCACTCCATTAACACTCAATGTGGGATGTGCTGACTTTACGTCACAACACTTAAGTTACGTGACAGTAACAAATGTCACTCGAGGATTTGACTTCCTCTCCTGTGGACGGAGCTAGTGAGTTCTCAGCTGTGCGCAGGGTTGTGCCGGGTCACGTCAAATTGTGACCTTGTCTTTGTCTTTGTTAGCATATTGGGTGTGGCTTACAGAGACGCCTGTGGGTGCCGGGCAGACAAGGGGCGGACTGGTGATGATTAACTTTACGTGTCACCGTGACCGGGCCACCCAATGCCAGCAGGGGGTCTGGTTGGGCATCACCGCTGGGTGCGTCCGTGAGGACGGTTCTGGATGAGGTCAACGCTGGGACCGGTGGGCTGAGGAAAGCAGATTGCACTCCCCAGTGTGGGTGGGCCGCGCCCCACACACTGAAGGCCCAAGTTAAACAAACCAAAGGTTTCTGCCTGCCCCCTGCTTACCTGTCTTCTCCTGTCCTTGGACAGGAATGTCCTCTTTGGCGCCTCTGGTTCTCAGGCCTTTGGGCTCAAACCGAAATGATATCACTGGCTGTCAGGGGTCTCGGGCTGCTGAGGAGATGGGCAATCATGGATTTCGCAGCCTCCATGACCCTGCGAGTCAATTTGTTACATTAAATCTCGCATGTAACATAAGTAGGAGTGTAGAGACTTATGTATTCTGTGGGTGCTTGCTCTGGAAATCACTGCTTTGTGGTGTTTGCAATGTCGTATCGAGAGGGAGGAGAGAGAGAAGGAAAGACGCAGGGACCCCGAGCATCTAAAACACACCAACACTTAACGGTAGATGCACTTAAAATGTAAAAGAAAAGGTTGTACATTTTTGCTCCCTATTTTCCCAAGTTTCTAGAGTATAATGGACAATACTATTAAAAAAATAAAGCCTGCATTTTAAAAGAAAAAATTGGAGAAAGATACATTTGTCTGGGAAACTTAACTGATAATAATATTGTGAGGAAGATAAACTTTGCGTGTACTTTCATTGTTACAGAGGAATGCGGAAGAGTTCACAGGCTGTTGGATCATTATCTTCCAGCTGTTCAGAAAAGATCTCATTGTCTCTATTCGAACGCCTTCCTTGAACGTCCTGGAATCAACTAATAACAGATCTGAGTGGAAACATGAAAGTGTCGGGTTTTGTGAAATGCTTTCTCTGCGCCTGTTGAGGTGATAATGTGGTTTTTAGTCTGTGCTCTGCTACTGGGGAGCATCTGATGCTTGGCCCACCTGTATGGAGCCGTCTTCGCCTTCCTGGGGAGACCCCCAGGTGACCGTGGGGGGAGGGCCCGTCCCTGTGTCCTGGAAGGGTCGGGCTGGACGGAGGTGGCTATTTTGTTGAAGAATTTTACATCTGTGCGCGTCAGCGTTATCAGCCTTGTGCTTTTCTTTCTTGGAGTGTTTGTCTGGCTTTGGCATCGGGGAGATGCTGGTCTCACAGGATGAGTTTGCAAGGGCTCATTTTTCTGTCCTCTTTGAGGTGTTTGAGAAAGGTGGGCATGAACTTTCTGTCCCATGTTCGGTAGATGTCCGGCAAAGCCCCCTGACCTGGGCACTCCTGCGTTGGAGGTTTCTGGTTGCCGAGCCGTCTCCGTGTGTAGCTGCGGGCTGCTCGGGCTGTTTCCTCGTGATTCAGTCCCGGCGTGCGCACGTTTGCGGGAACTTTCTCATGACTTCTACGTTGTCCAATTTGCTGGTGCATAATTATTAACAGTGGTCCTTGTTATCGTTTTTCTCTGGCATCTGCTCTAATGTCTCCTGATTAACTATTGATTTAATTTTTTAGTATTCTCCCTTTTCTTCTTAGTTATTCTAGCTAAGGGTTTGTCGATTTTGTTTATCCTTCTCAAAAACCCAACTCTTAATTTGTTGAGTTTTATCTGGTTTTCCTATTCTCTATTTTATTGATTCTGCTCTAATCTTTATTTTTCTTCCTTTTTCTAGCTTCAAGCTGACCTCGCATCTTGTTTTCTAATTCCTTGAGGTAGAAAGTAAGTTGTTTGCTTGTTTGTCTTGCGATCTCTCTTCTTTTACAGTGTAGGTGTTTATCATTGTAAACTAACCTCTTAAAACTGCTTTTGTTACTCCCAAAAGTTTTATATGTTATGTTGTCTTTTCCATTCATCTTGAGATATAAGCAAACGGGTGTATCAGGATGTCCTTGAGCTAATGTAGTGATGTAATGAAATAAGTCAGTTATTTTGCTAATCAGTTTGTTTGCACGTAACTGCGTGTAGCTCTCTGACTCTGGAGACATGCTGCATTGTGTTGGCAAATTTGGGGCTTTGTTCAAACCTCCGGAGCTGGGGTATGTAGAACACAAAACTGTTCATGAAAATCGAATGTGTCAAAAACCAGAACCCTGACATTGGTCGCAGTAGCACCTCTGGGTCGCTGTGAAGAGCGGTTTTAGAGCCCTGGCTTTCGGTAGAAAGTCGGTTTCTGCATCAAACGAGCTTCTGGGCTTGGGCTGCGTTTTACAGAATCACACGGGCTCTGCCATGAGACGGGGCAGGGGACCTGTAATGTCCCAGGTTTGTGACGTGGTCCTGCTCAGACTGCCCGGTGAGCAGCCCTCGGAGAACGAGGTAATTCTGACTGTGGAAAAAGCCGTCGGCACTCTCCCACGGCAGGCCCACGTCCCACGGCGAACCTGAGCACAGCTTCGTCTGCTCCGGGAAACGCAGGGACGCTCCCTCGGCCGGAGCGCCTGGTCCGGCTCCCCGAAAGTTGCACGTGCGACAGACAGTCCCTGTTCTGGGCGCAGCTGGGCGTGGGCGGGGCGGACATCATGTGCGCTTCATTCTTAAAATCATGGAGCGCTTTCCTTCGAAAACGTATGTTCCGCACTTCAGATTTTAACTCAGTAATGGATGGAATCTCATGAGGTACAGAAGAAACAAGAATACTTACTTCTCAGGATTCAAAGAGGAATTTGAAGACACGTGGAATTTAAATTGAGAAAAATATTATTAGCACGTGCAAAAGCTGTTTTTGACCTGTGAATTTTAGAAAAATTATAGGCCTTCACTGGTCGATTCTTGTATGTGCCCCACTGGGAATCGAACCCACAACCTTTGGGTGAGCGGGCCGACACTCTGACCCGTATGTGGAGTCTAATGAACAAACTGACCTAACCAGCTAAACGGAGACAGAGTCCTGGATGGAGAGCAGGTGACAGCTAGTGGGAGCGGGGGAGGCTGGGGGTGGGGGGACTGAGCAAAATAGAAAGAAGACTCACAGACACGGTGGGGGGATTGCCTGAGGGGAGCGGGGCATAAGGGGACTAAATGGTAATGGAAAAATAGAGTAGTTTTTATAAAATAAAAAATACGCAAAACCAAAGTAAAGAAACCTTATTTATGCTACGGGAGGAAATGCAGTTTGGGGCTTTGTAGGGGAAAGACCCTCCGCCGAACTGAGAGGCGCCCCTTTCCAGCCACCGCCCGGTGGTTTGAAACACAGTCAGCACGAGGCCTGAGCGGACACTGCCGTCACCACACCGTTACCGAGGCTCGGAGGCCGACGTTGCCACAGGGCGCTCTGTGGAAGGTCCCACAAAGCGTCTGCAGGTCTGATGGATGTGCAGGGAGAGGCGGTTGAGCACAAGGGTGATGAGCACCCGCTCTTGGCGCCCAGGCCACTCGCTGTGTCCTCGCCGAACCGCTCTGTGCCTCAGTCTCTCCTACGTAACGCGAGCGGATGACCGAGGGCTCGTACCAGTATTCACCTGTTTCTTGTGCAGTTGATGATACACAGACAGGTAGACAATAACTGTGTTAATTTCACTGGGTTTTCTGCAACGGTTGCATTTATACAAGTAAAGCACCAAGAACAGCACCCGGTAAACCCTGTGTGCACTCTGAGAATTTGCTTCTGTCATCATTGGGGCGCTGTTTCCATCGTCGTCCTCGCTGTCGCCGTGACAATGGAGCCCAGTAGGGTCCTGCTTTGCCAGAATTTCTAACGAAGAGGCTAAGAGTTCAGGGGTGCCCTGCCTGTGGCTGGGGTTTGAGGCTCGCAAGACGCCCCCACGTGGGGCACCCAAGCTCCGCCCCAGGCCTGGCACGACGGCCTTATTCCCTGCCCACGGCCGTCTCTGAGCTTGTCCCAGCTGCCTCTTGGGCTCCAGTCCCGGCCTCAGCGGGGAGGGACCAGAGGGGTGGGTGGTGCCCCAGGGTGGGGCCCGGGGAAGGGGGCTCCAGGGCAGCTGGGGCTGCACCTAGAGGCACCCCGAGCCCCGGCTCCCACTGCCTGGAGCCATGGTGCTGCGCTGGCAGCAGCCGCCCGTGCTGAGCCACGAGTTTGTGCTGCAGAACCACGTGGACCTGGCTGTGTGTGTGGTCATGTTCTTCGTGCTGGGGCTGCTGTCCGAGTGCACGGTGTCCCTGGTGTTCCAGACGCGGCAGCACCGTGTCCCCGCCCCTGCTGAGGGCCCGCCCAACCTGGCCTGGTCTTCTACTCGCTGGTGGCCGTCCTCCTGCAGGATTGCGTGCTGGACCGCGTGTGCGCTGCCTGCAGCTGCCCTGCACACGCCAGTGACGCTTCCATGAGGCCGGCCAGCTGGGCGCCTTCTACCTGCTGTCATTTACGTGGGGCTTCGCGGTGCTGCTGGCCAGGGCTGCCTGGCCGAGCCCGCCGCCTGTGGAGCATGCCGCCGGCCACCACGACCTTCCGTACCAAGCTCTTCTGCGTGGCGCAGCTGGCCTACTGGTGCCATGCGGTGCCAGAGCTCTACTTCCAGGGGACGTGCCCGCAGGACCTGCCGTGCCGGCTGGTCTACATGGGCCTGCACCTGCTCCACCTGCTCCTCCCGCTCCACCTGCTCCACCTGGGGCTGCTGCTGCTGCCACGCACCATGTCGTGGAGCTGCCATTCATCCTGGGCTGTCTGGGGACCCTCGTGGTGTCGTGCCCACCGTGGGCCTCCGCCTGGCTGAGGGGCAGTCCCAGAACCCGGACGTGGCGAACGTTGCTGGCGGCCAAGGTCGCCGTGCTCCTATCTTGCTGCACCATCCAGGCCTGCCTCACCTGGGGCCTCTTCAACACCCAGCTGCAGAGGTTGGTGGAGGGCGACGCCCCCCTGCCGGCCCCCACAGGTCTCAGGTTTCTGTGTAGAGCCTTGATGACGTTTTGTGACCGGAAATGGGCTGTAGGGACTCGGCTCTATCAAGTGGCCCCTGGTGGAAAGTTTCATTATACAGAGGTGGGCAAAAGTAGGTTTACAGGTGTTCGCATGGAAAAGCAACACAAGAATTACTAACAGTAGAAGAATGAACTCTGTGTTCTGTGTACTCACAACTACAAACCCACTTTTGCCCCGTGCATGTTTCTGGTTTGAGCCGAGGTTTCCAGGAGCCTATTGACACCCCGAAGTGAGGACCTACTGTGCGTCCTCTCCCTCTCTGCTGTCTCGCACTCTCTCCCACCGCCCCGTCTTTCAGAGCCTCCCCCTGGTTTGTGGGGGGTAATTCGACTTTGTCAGTCCCAGCACCCGGGAAAACTGGACTCCACCCCCTCGACCAAAGACGGAGCCGCACCTGGCCAAGCTTTCTCTTCCGTTCCATCTGTGGTGAGAGGTTCGTGAGGAAGCAGGACTGTTTCCTTCTTGGCATCAGCATCCTTGGTCCTCCGGTTGTTTTATTTCTCCTGTGGTCTGAGTCTGTAGAGTCGATGGGGCTCTGAGATCCGTGGTGAAACTCCACCCCCGCCGGCCGCGGTGCGGCTGCAAAGCCAAGATGTTCAGCTTCTCCCGGAGAGAGCGGTCTCTCTGCTCTCCCTGACTCGCCTGTTACTTGTCACCAACTCCTGGTAACACATTTCTTGTCCATCCCAGATGCCATCTGCACATGAGCACAGACCTGGTGCAGCCAGGGAGTGACGGTGAGAACGCCATCATCTCAGGGGACTGTCCAGGCCGGGGTTCAGCTGGGCTGGATGTGGAATATGATGAGGGTCCTGATTGGCTCCCCTGGAATTTTCCCGGCCCTGTCCCCTCAGGTTGACTTTCCAACTTGGCAGCAGGTGACACAGCTACTCTGGGCCTCATGTCCATGTGTCACAAACGTAGAGAGAACGGGAGACACAGTTTCTGGAGGGCCCAGGACACCGAGTCACCTTCAGAGGACTCACTGGAGAAAGAGTTGCACAGGGCGGGTTAGGCGGTGCGTCCCCCCACCCCCCGGGGAAAGGGCGAAGCCCCTCTTCTGGGGACGTGGGTGTCAGCTTAGGCACATACGTGACCGAGCGGTTTAAAGTTTTGTGTGCCTGTACACGCCAGGGAAGAATCCCCACCGAAATGTGCAGGGCATCGTAAGAATTGTGTCCATGTTTGTCCCATGTTATTTGTCAGGTGCTGTACACTCTCTGACACCACCCGTGTCAGCTGCATGGCCCCGGAGGCCGGTCCTGACCCGCCGGTGGCTGTCGGCAGCCGGCGGGCCGTTTCGCACTGTGCGTGGGGACCGCCGCCCCCTCCCCCAACTGTGATTGGTGCTGGGTGAGGACGCATCTGTGGAGCCCAAGGTGTCTGTTTGCAAAATGCTCTTTGGGTCTTTACATCGGATAAGCCTGTTCTTGTTCATCACGGAAATGGCATCGCCTACAGGCAGGAAATCGCCCTTCATTAGGGTTCAGCTGCAGACAGGCGTGATGGACTTTCCCGGCAGCGTTAAGGTGAGTGGCCTGTGTGGGACTTATCCCCGAGACAGGCGGCCAGCGAGTGTGTCGTTCCTTGCTGTCTCCAGTCCACCTTCAGGCCAGGGCATGGACCCTCACCCCCCGAGCACAGAACTGAGGCCTGAACACGGGCCCGACACTGCACACCTGTAGCCCGGGGCCCGTTGGAAGTGGCACCCAGCTCACACCTGTTGGTGGTGCTCCTAGGTGTGGAAGGGCGGTGCGAGGGTCTGCTCACACGCGGCAGCCGAGGGCTCACCGAGGCCAGCGTCGCGCCTGGGTCTGTGGCCAACTGAGCCACACAGCCTGGTGTTGCCGAAGATGCCGGGCACCAGGCTGGTCAGTGCGGGGGCACTTGGCTGACCGGGGGTCACGGGGCCCAGAGTCGCTGGTTTGAAGGAGAACGTGGAAGACCCATCACTGTGACTGTGGACGTCAGACCGGCTAAGCGGGGAGAGGTGCGTTCCACAGACAGGAAAGGGAAGCAGGGTGGGATTTCTGAATTCCTGATTGCTCTGCTAGAAACATTCTGAATTATTGATTCATTTACAAGAAACATTCCTACAATAACCTAAGTAAACAAGAAAATAATTAAAATAATAATTAAAAAATAAAAGTCAGTGTCCCAACGGTAGCTTGTCTGACGCACATGCACATGCACACGCACCGGGTCAGATGGATGGAGACCCACGCCCAGGGAGCTCTGCCTACGGGTCATCGCTGAGCCTGGACCGATGGTGACGGAGCAGCTGGCAGGCGGCAGGCGCGGTGACAGCTTCTCAGCGTCCAGTGCGGTGTGTTTGCCGTGTCAGTCCAGACTTGACATTTAATTTAAAAGGTATTAACTTAGGTCTGCGCGCGCTGAAGGAGACAGCAGCTAGGAGACCAGCGCTGTCGTGTTTGGTCCCTGGCCAGGGCGGCGGCGTCGCTGTGACAAGTGAACTGCCACCTGGGGCCACTGTGGCGTGAGAGCGCAGCCGGCCGCTCCTCCGAGGGACGGGCTCGGTGAGCAAATTGGACTGCTGTGGCTTTGGAATTCCTATCGCAGTGTGTAGTTACCAACTTGCAGGAGAAGTCCTCCGCTGGGGTGTGTGTGTGTGTGTGTACATGTGTGTGATCGCTCATGTACCTGTCTATATATCAACCGTAAACATATCATATAAATACATATCATATAAATTTTGGCACATTCATCTTACAGGTTTTTAAAAAGGCTTTATCTTCTCATGGAAAATAGAGACTAGAAATGACAATATATTTTGATTTTACTGAAAAACAAATATGTTCTTCATATACATAACTAGTGATGGAATCAGTATTTTCCCACCATATTGTCCACCCGGTAAACACTGCACTGTCCTGAGTGTGGCAAGCTGATGAATCGTAACTCACGGCAAATGACAGCAGATTCCACTGTGTGGTTTTCAGGGGGTTGGAAGTGGAAGCTTAATACCCTTCACTATCCCTTACGTTTCCAATTACATCATAAAATACTGCGCTAAATTTAGCATCGTTGAAATTGTACTCAAACTACTCACTTATAACCTAAAACACATCGGACAGCACCGCCGGCCCTTCCCTCATGGGTGGGGGCCCCAGTCCGTTTTCCACCCATTTGTCTCACGATACTCGGGGGGCTCTGCTTACCTAAGCCCTGTGCTGAAGAAGGTAATGCCGGTGTGTTAGCGACCCACCCTGGAAACCTGGACCTTGGGAGGGACAAAGTGGCTCAGTGGCCTTCAGCACTTGCTGGCTGTGACATCCAAAGACAGGCCTGGCCCGGGGGCCCTGAGCAAGCCTCCTCCATGTGGAGGCTCAGGGCCTGCTTCTCACTCCTTGGCGGTCCCCCTGCACCGGGCAGTCTCCCCTCCTGCAGGAAGGCCTGCAGCCGCCCCACCCAGAGCAGCAGCTTCCGCACGGCCGTGATGTGCCTGAGTGACAGGCCCAGGGCCTCGCTCACCTCCGCCTGGAGCAGGCAATGCTATTTAAAAAACCTTAGTACAGTTGGGCATCCACATTCACACAAAATGAACCAGAGAGAGTTTATACCCTTCACAAAAATGAACTAACATGGAGCATAGACAGCATAGATTTTTACCAAACCGTAAAAATCCTAGAAAAGAACGGAGAAAATGCAGGTGAACTTGCAGTCAGCAAACACTCTCTAGGTACAGCTCCGAAGGCTCGGCCCTGAAAGGCTGGAGAAGCTGGACTTCATTACACTTTCAAAGTTACGCCCGGAGGAGACAACATACAAGGAGCAGACGAGGCCCAGACTGGGAGAAAACCACTGCAAAAGACGCGTCTGGTAAAGGACCATCATGCAAACCTGCCAAGAACGCGTTAAAGTCAAGGAGAAGAAAACGAACAACCCAATGAAACAAACGGGCGAGAGTCATGAACACACCTGTTGGGAGGGCCCCCACCCAGGCGCCACCCTGGGGAAGGCAGTTCGGCCGAGAGCTCACCCCATTTAGACGCAGCCCAGCCGTCACACGCCAGGGAGTTTACTCAGCAGAGCGGAACGTGCAGGTCCCCACGGAAACCTGCCCACGGGTTCACGGAGGCTTCAGTCATGGCCGCCAGGATGGGGAGCGGTGAGATTCCCGCCAGCAGGGGGCGGGTGAGGGGGCTGTGCTGTGGGCAGAAAGAGGTCCCTGCGCAGCACTCGGAGGACATGAACGGTGAGACCACCAAGGAACCTTGCCTGCGGGTGACCGAGAGCAGCCAGTCAAACGGGCCGCAGGCTGCGTGAGTCCGACTGCATGACGTTCTGAAGCCGGCAAAATTGCGGACACCGTGGGAAGGCCCGTGGTCAGAGGGGGCGGCAGGGATGGCAGGCAGGACCCGCCACGCTGGTGGACACACGTCTTCCTAGGCTTGTCCAAACCCATAGAACGTGCAGCACCAGCAGTGACCCGATGTGGACTGTGGACTCTGGGAGACCGTGTGTCGAGGTGGGTTTACCCGTCACGACCAATCCAGCCCCGTGGCGTGAGGAGTCCACAGTGGGGAGGTGGTTTGAACGTGGGTGATCCCGGGACCTCTCTGTGCTCCAGACTCAATTTTGCTGCAAACATCAAACTGTTCTAAAAAATAGTCTATTTTTAAAAAAAGTACCACATCACTCCCCCACCCACTTCCTCACTGATCTTCCTTCCCCGTTTGTGATGTCAGGAAGGAAAATGCAGGGCTGTGCACACTAAGGGTCCTTTAGTCACTAGTGGCCCCACTTTCCCTGGGCTGACACGGGAACCCATCGGAACAGACAGAAGCCACGGCCACAGACCACAGACGGTCCAGCCGTGGTCGGCTTTCTGGTGGCTTGTGCAGGTGGTTGGCGTAGCCTCTCATTTTAGCCAAGCAGTGCCTTGAGTTGTTCAACATTTTACTTATATAAAAAGGTTATGTTTTGGTCTAATTCTAAGAACAAATCACCTAAACACAAACTACACTCACAAACTGTCCTCACTCTCGTTCCCTGTTGCTCTTTGCTTCTCTAAGGAGTCCCTCCCAGGATACCCGAGGGATCCGGTACATATGTACATGTGTGTTCACACCTGGTGTGTGTGTTTGTTTTATTCAGATAATGTACCTCTATTCACTTCACGCTTCATACAGATTTATATGCCGAATGATTTGAGATTAAGGTGTGTGTGCACAGCTCTCCTTCAATGTAGAAGGCGCCACTCCCCCTATTCATCCTATGTGTGACCTGCCTCCTTCCTGGGGGGCTGTCCTGTCTGTCCCAGGAGCCAGGTGTGGCTGGAACCCAGGAGCAAGGGCCCCGAGCGTGGTATGACTGGGCAAGGCCAGGCTGGGGCCAGACGGCCACGGGAGACCGAGACTGAGTGAGGTGCCTCAGTGTGACCGCAGCATGACACGGCCTCGACAAGGTGGCGCGATGACCTGACCCCCCTTCCAAAGGTCCCTCTGGCTTCTCTGTGCCGAGTGGAGTATCTTGGTGTTGGAAGTAGAAGTCCCTTTGGAAGCTGTTGTCGGTCGAGGTACCGATTATGATTTTCTGACCGAGGGGCAACAGTGGAGACAGAGAAAGGGAGGGAGTGGAAGGGGAGGGGACAGAAGTGTGTGCTCTGAGGACTCGAAAGTGGACTGGGCTGAGTGTTGATGGATGATGCCGACTCATCGCTGGCTCCTGGTTTCCGGCTTGAGGACCTCGTGGCTTTAGCAGCAATTTGTGTTTGAACTTCACCTCCAAGTTTCTGTGACTCGCTGTTTGATCTTACAGACGAAGATCTTGGGTTTCTGTGTTCATTTTCTATGCAGATAAGACAACGGACATCCTCTGAAAAGTCGTGCATTAGTCAGTCAAGGTCTAACAGTCAAGGTCGTGTGGCTAGTGAGCAGCAAAACCCACCCCTGCTGCTCTGCTCCCGGCCCACGGGCTACCCCCAGCACCCCGTGTGGTGAGGAGCTGCTCTCAGACGCCCCGCCCCCCTTTTGCCCCCTCCCCCTTCCACAGCAAGACCGCCTCAGCCCGGTCACAGGGGGACCTCAGGAGGGCGTCGAAAGCTGGTCGTCCAGCAGTCCCGTGAATGACAAGGGCAAGAAGACAAGGCACTAAGTCAATTAGTTGCCAAACTTTTTTGAGTTATTTATTGGTTGGATTTTCTGTAGAAGCACAGTGCCTGGGGCACAGATTGGTCTTGTAAACAATTTCAGAAAACATCCAGGCCTCCGGGAGGGAGTTGAATTGTTAAGACCGGTCTCTGTCCCCTCCTGGACTTTGATCCCCTGTGAGCCCGGAGCCCCGCCGGCCCCACGATCCAGTTAAATAGTGCGTCTCATCCCGCCTGTTACTGGACCATTGACTAGAGGTGGAACTGGGTTTTGTTTAACATGCTAAAATTTCACCTTTCAACACAGCTGACTGTACTACTGCATAAAGGAGAATTCAAAAGCATATAGTTAGTAAAATGATAGAAAGAACAGTGAAAATTTGGAAATAAAATGTCTTTGATTTCTCAAGTCTCGAGCAAAAGAAAGAGGAAGAAAGTGAAACCATTTTTTGTGTTGGCTAGCACTTTGCACCGAGACGCACTTCACACTGAGGCCGTGGGGGTCGGAGAGAGCAGACGGCCCAACGGCTGATGGCCCGACAGCTCACGTGAAGAGGGAGGTCTCCGTCGGCTTTCACGCCGATTCCACGAGAATAGGCTCATGCTGCTAGAGAATTTACTGGGTTCGGAGGGAGTGAAGCATATACAAGCTGCAATGGTGTGATTTCAGATATGTTGTTAGAAATAACCTTAAAGATTATGGACGCAGGTCTTCAGAGATTCAAATACAGTTACTGGAGTTTTTGAAAATTATAAGGGATGAAGACGTTTTGAAGATGGTGTTGGCTAACGACAAATGCCGTACAGGCTACACAGCAGGCCGTGTGCCTGGGACTCAGAACACGGGTGAACTGTGGTGGAGAAGATGTGACTGTCCCCTGGGCACACTGCTACCCATTACCCTCTCTGTGGCCCGGCTTCCTTATGTATTTAAAATAATTGTGCCTACTCAGCCTCCCATTTTCCTGCTCCGGGAAGATGTCCTCTCTCACAGGCCGAATTCTCCCCGAGGAGCACCACTGCCCTGCGGTTAAAGACTCAGCCTCCCTGTGCACACCGTTCATTGGGGTCACTCCCAGACAGGGGTTCCTGAAGGTCGATAGAAAAATCAGTGTCATACTGTGTAAAGAAAATTGCTTTCAAATCATACAGCTGATAGGCATTTTTATTCCCTTTCATTTACTCGATTTCAGTAATTGGTTTGCCCACCCTCTTAAAAATATCAGTCCTTGCAGAACGTTATTATCGTAAGTATACTTGTCTGCGTGCTTCTCGCTCATTTCCCTGACATTTTGACTCGTTAAGCTTCTGGTGGGCTCCGGATATATACCTGGCTCACTCAGTTCTGAAGGACGGCCTTTTGATTGGCTTGAGTGGCTTTGGGACTCACAAGCTCAGGGGAGAGCTGTCTCCTGAACCTGGACTTGAACCAATGACCTCTGTTCTCCTTGGGACTCCACAGACCAGACGTAGCCACACCCAAAGAGCAGTGTTTCAATCGAACCTTCTTTACAGGGGAGTTTTATGGATCGCACAGAGACAGGGCACTTTTTAATCATTTTTATGTCACTGTACTGCCTGAGGCTTCCAATTCCATTATATGAGGATTATAAACCTTGTTTTCAAATTGATTGTTGATGTCCAGCCAACAGAGGCTTTAGAAGATCAATCAGAACTGCCAAGCCCTATTAAAATGAACTTATTGGGTTTAATTGTTCATATTACGGCTCTCTGAGCCGCTGCTGGTCCTAAATCTGAATTTCCTTCCTTGCAGATAAAGCTTCCCATTTAGCTAGCATTGCAATAATCTTCCCTGAGTGGCCATCGACGATCTCATCCTATGTACACATTATTTTCCTTACACTTTGCTGTTTCCTCCAAGTGTATGAACTAGAAACGTGTTTTGTATCCTTCCTATAATGGTATTAGTTAATAACATTTAAGAATTAAGCACTATAATTGGGAGTTAAAAATCTGGCCCCAAAGCACGCGCACACACATTTCCTGCAGCTACATCCTGGCAGAAGCGTCGGTAAACGTGCTTCTAAGAAAATGATACGCGGTGTGTTTTAATGAGATGCACCTCGAAAGCATGGTTTAGTCTTGGATGGATCATATGCACGAGTGACTCCATGTCGTTCTCGTTCGAGAGACCCTAAATCTATTCCCCTAGCGTATGTCACCGAATAATACGGGACAGCCCGAGGGAGGTGGGCAGAGGGACATGAATGACACACTGATCTGTGCCGAGCTGGTTTGGGGTCGCAGAGACCCAGATCTGAGACCCTGATTCCCCACAGGCCAGTTAAGTCTCTGAATTTCCTCATTCCTTTAGGACAGTTTCGACTGCTTTGAAGGCTGTAAATACACATTATTGTTAACTGTGTAGTATAGAAATTTGACTCCCAATATGACTACCTAGTCATACAAAGGAGACAGCATTCAGTAAATGTTGGTGGTTATTACATGTGTGTGTATGAATTGCTGTTGATTCTCAGAATACATTAATAAAAACAGATCCAGAGAGGCCCCACTCAGTGACCCACGCCTCCAGAAGGCTGAGATGAATTGATTTGTAATCCAAAACTCTACACCTAAATACCAGTTAGGGTTGAGGCTATTATCGAGGCATTCCTGGACATGTAAGTACATAAGGAAACTGATTTCTCAAGCACCCCTTCCCAGGGAACTGTTTGGGGTCAGCAGTGTCAGAGAGAGTGGTCTGGAAAAGCAGCAGCAGAAGGCAGAAGTGTGGGTTCAGACACGAGAGGGGAGTCGAGGGCAGGTGGAGAGTACAGGTGCAGCGATGTAAGGACACCCTGGGGCTGTGGTGCGGCTGGTGAGGGATCCCACAGGACAGAGGGACACAGCTTCAGGGTGAGGACATGGGCAGCTCTCTGGGGAGAGATGCAGAGTTGCTAGGGATACGGGACGATGAAGGGAGGGGAGTGTGCTGGTGAATGAGGGGTGGGGGATGGGAAACTAAACCCATTCCCCTCTCCATCACGGAAAAGATTTATAAAATTGGGAGATAACATTAAACAACTATATTCATACACTATTGAGCAAGAAGGAAGCCAATATAATAATAAGAATAATTTGCAAGAATCATCTGAGCCTTAAACACAGTGGCGAGTAGGACACAGTGTTTGCTGGAACTTTCTCCCCTACAGTCAGGCAGCCGTCCTCTGAAACCATATGTCCTTCCTCCTCCTTTATTTTGGGGGGATATCAGCTTTTAAATATTTTTGAGTATTTTCAAATTCAATTTATTGGGGTGACAGTGACTGATAAGATGAGATGGGTTTCCAGAGCACAGTTCTGATACGGGACCTGTACCCAGTCAGCCCTCCTCCTGTCCCTGTATATGCGACCCCCTGGCCCTTCACCGCCCCCACCACCTTCCCTCTGGCCGCACGCACCTTCGTCTGGGTCTGCGAGTTTCAGGTCTATGTCCCACACGTGAGCGAGATCCTGTGGTTCCCCACTTTCCCCATCTGACCTGTCTCACTCAGCTGCTCTCTGTGCATCCACGTTGTCGCAGACGGCGGCGTTTCGTCTTCTCGTGGCCGAGTCGCGTTCCGCGGCGCACGGCCACCACATCCCTGTCCCACTGTCTGCGGACGGACCCTCTCCGAGTCCCGGTCACCGCGACCACGCCGTCATGCACACAGGAGTGCCTGCATCTTTGCGAGGGGGCGTTTTTAGGTCTTTCGGGTCGACACCTGCTCTTTGTAACGAGTGTGTTTACCTGCCCTTTGTTCTCCTTCGTTTCTCTCTCACCTGCCGCGTGTCAGAGGAGTGAGGAACGGTCTGCACACCTGTCGGGAGCAACGTGACACGAGGAACGACCAGTGAGTGACTCGAGGTCTGCAGTCAGCAGCTTCCATTTCTACTTACTTAGAGTGTAGATTAAATTCACCTTCTGTTGAGGAGTTAGTGTCTACAAATGCCCGGGTAGACGCAAGAAGCTAAATTAAAACCACTAGGCCGCAAAAAGCAAAGCTGGCAAAGCCACAGCTATTTTGTTCAGTAAATGGATTTTTCCGTAATTGAAAAAAAAAACAAATTTAATTAGTCACATTAATGTAACTCAATCTTAATTACTGCCCCGAGAGGCCATTTAAATATGCAGGGACAATTCTTTCCAAATGCCTCGTCAGCTCTAATTGGCTGGCACGTGCTGTCCCTTGTACTTTCTGGAAATGACTTTGGTTTCTGGGTTCCGCTGCGTCCCGTGTCACTTCATACTGTGTCCCTGCGGAGCCTCGGGCATCTGAAGCCCGCAGCTCCCGAGGCCCCGGCCAGTGGCGCCTGGTTTGGCATTGAGCACCTGGCAAGGAGAACCAGGAACACCTGCGTGAACGACCTGCTCCCTCGGCCTTTGTCCCTGGGAATCCAGAGTGGCTCCAGCCGCTCAGCTGAAGGTCCCCTGCTGAGCGGAGGTCACTGGAGAAGTCAGCAGCGGCTGCCCTGTGGAAAGGAGGAGGCTGTCACCGCCCACAGGTAGCATCACCTCTCTCCAGTGGCCACACTCTTGGGAGAAAAGGGCGCCAGATGCTGGCTGTCTGGGAGGTGAGGTGGGTCCCGACTCAGCATCAAAACGTGACCACCTGCAAAACCTCTGTTCCTGTCAGCCAGAGAAAATGCTGTTTTTACGGAATCAGGTCAGCCCTGCTATGACATCCTATCACCGGTCTACTTTAATTGGTATTATGATTGTGTGCCTATTATGAAAACCTTTCAGTACTATGCTTATTTCTGCTTTTCTATCTACACTGTTTCTTAGGAATTTTGCATTATTTTGAAAGAGCTTTAAACAATAAGGCATCTTTTATTCAGTGTTGCCCCTGGAACCTCCGTTTTGTGGCCTTTATTTCCACGACAATGTTTGCATCTAGCATCACAATTCTCTGTGATGGTTTTTCTCTGATATTTTTTGTAGTTGAGATTTAGTGATAAGTGACTTCAAATCTTGAAAAAGATTTGAAAAAGTCTTTACTGC